AAAAGCGAGTTATTTAAGAGGGGGGTATTGAGGAGCTATAATGAGATTACATGCGACCTATGTGGAGAAGGGGAAGAAACAGCTACTCACTTGTTCCTACACTGCAAATATGCACATAAAATCTGGAGTATGTGTTTGAAGTGGTGGGGAGTTCAATCATGCTGGCCGGGGAGTTGCTGGGATGCATTTCATCAGCATATGGGTTTCTTTCTAGATAAACAGACAAAAGAAGGGTGGGAGGTTATATGGTTTGCCTGTGTTTGGTCCATTTGGTTGTGTAGAAACAATCGGATATTCAAGGGGAAAGAACTTGAGGCTGCAAGGGTGTTTGAAGTTATCCAGATTAGATCTTGGGAATGGATAAAAACTAAAAAAAAGGGCTGGGCAATTCTACTTACAGATTGGATGAGAGACCCAAAGGTATGTTTGAGATAAGGGTGGTAGAAAAGAAAAGGACGTGAATGCATAAGAATAGGAGTTTTTGGGTTTAAATGAACATATTTTGAAAATTGATGGCCCAAATTGCAAGAAGGAAGGTGTTATCTTGGGACCTAAGTGAATGAATATTGAGTTTTGGGATTTAAATGCTCAGTATGAAAGAAGGACCAGTTTTGCAATTTTACCATTGAAGAAATTGCAAAAAAGGACAGAAACCCGACACGGGTGTGGTGTCGACCCATAATTTTGGTGTCGACACCTTACGGCAAGCATTCAAATTCACAGTTTCTGTCTCTTATTCTGCGGCGACAAAGTGCAGGCTAAAGTTTTTTAACAACTTGGAAGTGCTCTTGTGTTAATATATCAGAATGGACTGATCTTGTAAATTTATGCCTTTCAAATTAAAATATTTATAGGTTTGAGGTACCTTTGTACTCCATTTTTAATAAATATTTTTTTTTGTTGTTAAAAAAAAAGATAACGAAAATTTCAAAATAAATAAACCAAAAAGAGTTTTTTTTTTTTTTTTTAAGTAAATGGACCAAATTGAGGCTAAAAGTAGCCACAGTAACCCCAATTTGGTCCATGTACTTTAAAATTTTTGTCATTTAATGTGTCATATGTGCAAAACTTAATAGAAGAACTAAAAAATTATCAGATTTCAAACTTTAAGGACCAAAAAGGGATTTGTTTAAGTAGAATGACTAAAAAGGGACTTCTACCAAAATAGAGGGACCAAAATGGGGATTTAACCATTTAAAAATT